TTAAAGTCGGAAAGGACCTCTCGGAGCCCTTTAACACTAGAACGCCGAAGGCGGTCATTTTCGCAACTGACAAAAGCAACTGTGCATTTAATGACACTTTTTTTAAATTTGTTGAATTTTTTATAATAAACGTAATTCTATGAGGTACAAAAAGTCACCAAATTTTAAATAAAAGTGTCATTAAATGCACAGTTGCTTTTGTACTTGACATTGGAAAGCGGTCAAAATGACCGCCTTCGGCAATCTAGTGTTAATACCGAACGAGGATTCAGACAAGGTGGCGGCTTGTCGTGTGACCTTTTTAACATCCTGCTGGAAAAGGTCATACGAGAGGCAAAAGCGAACAGAAATGGCGCTCAGTACACCAAACAACACATGTTACTCGCCTACGCCGATGACGTCGAACACTGAGAGCGGTAACAGCCACCTTTGAACAAATTGAGAAGGAGTCTGCCAAATTTGGTCTGACAGTAAACGGCGAGAAGACCATGCTGATGGTATCAACCTGCAAGACGTCCACTAGACTCGGACCAACTGTTGAACTTGAGAACTACAGATTCGAGGTAGTCAACGATTTTATATACCTTGGTACCGCCATAAACAAAACGAATGACATCAGTTTTGAAATTCGGTGAAGGACAGTGATGGCCAACAGATGGTACTATGGTCTGAGCAAACAACTCAAAAGCAAGGCCACCTCCAGCCAAACCAAACTCATACTCTACAAGACGCTGATACTATCCGTGCTGTTATATGGGTCTGAAGCATGGGTACTTACGCAAGCAGATGAGACAGCTCTTGAAGTGTTTGAGAGAAAAATTCTCCGAAAGATCTATGGGCCGATCTGCATTGACGGTGAATATCGCCGTCGAATGAACCATGAGCTGTACCAGCTATTCTCGGACATCAAAATTGTTAGACGTATTGAGCTGCAGCGACTACGTTATGTTGTGAGAATGGATGAAGATGCCCCAGCCCAGGAGGCATGTAAAAGCGAACCAGCTGATGGTTCACGCGGGAGGGAAAGGCCAAGAATACGATGGAAAGATCAAGTCGAAGACAACATTGCCAAAAATGGTCTTTCAAATTAGAAAAACTGCGCAAAAAACCGACGCGCCTGGAAATCTTTTTTAAGCTCGGCTTATGGAGCGAAAGTTCTGTCACAAGCCAGCTAAGTAAGTATCCAAAATAGGATATGCACAAAACTTGACTTCGCTACATCCTTGCATTCGGAACTCATTTTTAATTATTCTCTATATTTATTTTTACAAGAATCAAACATAATTCTGATGGCAGAATTCCTACAATTTCAATACGAAGCGATTTAAATAATTTGGACTGTATACACAATTTAGTACTGTACACAAATTTACCCTCTTCTCTATTTTGAATGGCTCATAACTTTACCAAAATTTTGAATTTTGTTTATTTCTCTTTTGATATGTGTCGTCAATAATCAGGTCTTGACATATGTAATCCTAATAATATATAACTACTAGCTGCACATTGAATATATACCCTAAAACATTTTGTTGCCTGTGAGCAACATTGGACCACAAAGGGTTAAAATAATCTTTGCTTACTGGACCTCAAAATAAGAAAATCATCTAAGGAAATTGACCTGACATCTACTTTTTAACAAAAAAAAAACGAATATTGGTCGTGGATCTTCAAAGGCTATGAGTTTCTACATAGTCTAATGGGGATCAACGTTTTAGTAAAGATTCCCATTCACAGTGGTAGGAGATTTTCATTGTGAATGCTGCATATTATTTTTACTAAAAGTTTAAGCAATATTTTTGAATCGGTTACAAAATGTACAAAAATATTTCAGAAAAAAATTCGCATCTGAAGATAAATATTAATAAAAACAAGTGGAAAGAAAGTTTGTGTTGCTAACAGATATGGACAATATTGCCAATTTTTTAATATTCCATTTTCAAAAAAATCTGCTTTTTTGTCTTTGTGGCACATCAATGATTTTTGGTACACATATAGAGAAAAATGTTCTGACTCCGAAACCGATTGCGATCAAAATTTTGGTTGATGCGCGCAAAAGTTATCGAGGTTTTAATTTTGGGCATAAGAAAAAAAACTTAAAATTACGCCGTTTATTATATTGACCAAATACGTAGATATATATCTTCCTCCGTAAAGTAAGAATATGAATATATTATAATAATCGCGATAAAGTTGAACATCTTCGCAAAATATGAGAAAAATAATAAAAATATAGGAGATTACGTCAATATTTTCATTATCTTAATGACATACACACACCTAAAAATTTATATAAAAATATCTACATAATCTATACACCATGATGAATCAAATTATTTCAAAATCACACAAGTCCGTGTAGCGGTTTGTAAATCAGAGCGACAACAATCAAGATATTGAGGAAAAATATTTGTTTTTGGTTCGAAGAAATAATGTCATCATATTTATTTTTTAATTTTATACAAGAAATTTCAGAAATGCTATTTTACCCGAATTTCGCCGAAAAATTGGCATATTTAAAAATAATCACATTTGGTGTATAAGTATACACCTTGTGGATTGTAGCAAGACCCTTCCGATAAATCTTGGGGTTCTATAAATAGGAATAAATCTTAAAATAAAATAATATTATGAAATATACATTTTAAATTGCGTCTAAATCGCGTAATTCTCAAAATCATTTGATGCGCATGCGGTTGCCAGGACGTACTAAAGTTTATCTTCCAATCCATATATATTTTGCGAAATTTCATTTGACGGCTAAGATGTGCCACACGTGGCATTAAATTGGGTACATCTCTCTTTCGGCTGAAGTTTTTAAAGTTCTCTTTTCGAAAAAGATAAAAATGAGTAGACTCCATCCTATATAATTGAGTAGACCCCATCCTATATAATTACATTTTGTAAGATACCCTCTATTTATTTATACCATAATTAATAATACTCCCTGTATCATTTATTTGAGTAGACCCAATCCTGTTTAATTATATTTATGTTTATATTTTTTTCTATCTTTTAATTAATATTGTAAAATGAATTTTATTATTACAGATACTTGAGTTGATTCCATCCTTCTTGTGATAACAGTTGTATAAATTATTGTTAATTAATTTTATTGTAATGATAAGTTCCTCAATTTTTGTATTTTTTTTAATACTGTTTTAATAACCACGATAACATTATAGAGTAACTTTTTTATTATTTTTTATATATTAAACTATTTCCGCTCGATCTTCGAGTAGAATCTTAGTTGCAGTCAAAATTTTTGTTTGAGTTTCTGTGAATAATTACTACTTTTACTAGTATTGCTTGTCAAGTTAGTGAAATGAACATGTATTATTCTTGGCCCGCAATTGTTATCGTGATTGTTAAGATTTTCTTGTTTTATTTTATAGTCGAGGATTTTCGCGTTATTGTTTATTATAAGTGTAATTATGAGATTTGTAGACTGGTAATTTCTTAAATGTGGTCTGCGGACTTTGAAATTAATGTGAATAAATAAATTAAATTAAAAAATCCGTATGAGGTCTTTTATTGAAGCGGAAATGATCCACAGAAAACGCAATTAAATCCGCGATATTTTCAAAAACATTTTTTGCCAAATTTCGTGTTTTTGGAAGTCCAGTTCCCGCCGTTCTAGTAGATGGGTACCCATATCATTCAGTTGACAGATCTAAAAATTTGGCCCGAAAAATAGGTTTTTTTTAGAAATTTTTTTCGCACGAAATTTGATCAACAAAATCGGATGAGTATTACTCTGAAGCTGTGCATACTACATACATAAACTACATATCAAATTACGCAGATTCGCGACTACAATAATCTTATAATCGATTTTTAGAAATTCCTGTTTGCGTTTTAAAGCTAGAAGTAAAATTAAAAAACGCTCAAAATCGAGCTTCAAAATGTCAGCATCATTTAAAGGTAGATGCAGTTAAAATTTTTAAAAATGATACATAAGTGGCTTAGTCCCCATTTTGTTGGCTTCTAGTTTTACTCTGACACGAAGACCGTGAAATGAGTGGCATAGTCACAAATCGATAGAAAACATAAAAAAAACTGGTTCGCCTCAACCTATTTTTACACATTTTTTTACATTATAGTAGACACATCTTCCACCAAAATAAAGTTTGGAGATCAATATCATGAACAGTTTGCAACGACAGACCAACTAACCCAAAACTTTTCACTTTTTTTCATATACTTAAGTAATTCCCGAGATATAAAGGGGTGAACCTCCGCTTCAGCTATGTTAAAAAATTGGCAATATTGCCCATATATACCCTCAGTCTATGATATACAGTATGTCAAGAATGAGTTTACACATGGATAATTATAAACCATATTCAAATGTAGAAGCTTATTTGTTTTAATGCCCTTCACCACTCTGTGGTACAGGGTATTATGTCTTTGTGTATATGTTTGTAACAGGCAAAAGGAAACGAGATAGACCCATGGTTCCTTTTGAGAATATGCATAGAATCACTTTCTGAGTCGATTGTTGCATGTCTGTCCGTCCCTGTTAAACTGTAAACAAAGTGCAGGTCGCATTTATGATTCGAATTGAATGAAATTTGGTACACATCATTTATTAGGCTCGAGGAAATTAGGAAAAATCTGTTCAGATTTACATATAGCTCCCATATATACACTATGAGATGGAAAAACTGCAACCAACATAAGACTAATGTCATTTCTAAGCCACTCGTCCGAAAGCTGTTAAAATTATTCCAATGACAGCTGATTATATTGTTTACAAACGTACAAAAGCATTTTGGTGAGCATATCCCAGAAAAAAAGTTATTCGTGATGGAATTCAAGCGTGATAGTGTGATTTCTTTATATTTGGCTGGAAAACCCCAAGCGATTATCGTCAAGGAAATGGACGGAAGAAAACAGCAACATCAGCAGAAATGGTTCGAAACGTAAAGAAGCGACTTGATCGAAACCCGCGTCGCAGTGTCCGAAAATGGCTCGTGAGCGGAACATATCGCAATATACCATTCGGCAAATGTTGAAAAATGAGCTTGGGGTAAAGCCATTGAAATTCCAAAAAGTGCAAGAACTTACACCGCAACAGAAAAAAAATAGACACAAAAAATCTAAAGAGTTGCTTCGCTTGGCCGAAAGTGGTGAACTGCCGAATTTGGTTTTCTCCAATGAGAAAACATTCGTTGTCCAAGAGTTTGTAAACAAACGTAATTATCGTGTTTACTTTCCAAGGAGGTCAGCTGAAAATGTGCACCTTCGGTTGGCCACCAGAACTCAAGCGCCGGACATTGTGATGGTGTGGGCCCCCACAACAGCCGATGGTCACTCTACGCTCGTATTAATCGACCGTGGGATCAGAATGAATGCCGAATATTATCGCGAAAATATTCTGGAGCGGGCTTTGGACACGCAAACATTTTGACCGCAGACCTTGGACATTCCAACAGTACTCAGCACCATCGCACTCAGCACGCGCCACCAAACAATGGTTACAAAATGAAGTTACTTGCTTCATTTCCAGCGCATAGTGGCCACAAAAATCTCCGGATAGCAATCCGTTGGACTATTGTGTATTTGGAGTATTTTGGGAAGCAAGGTTGACACTAAAAAATACCAAAGTGTCGATCACCTCAAGCAAGCGCATCGCCGGGAATGGGCCAAAATACCGCAGAGCAACATTCGGGCAGCGTTTAAAGATCATAATTCGTGCCAAAGGTGACAAAAATTCGAACAAAACTTATTCTAAATTTTGATGTTATTTCCGAAAATTTTTGCTTTCATTCAAAAAAAAATTTAAAAATTATGGCGTTTGACTTTGTTGCTGTTTTTTATCTCACCATGTAGTTACGTGGGATTTTTAGTAAATGGTGCACCAAAGACCCAATATTAGGCCGATTGCCTCAAGATTTTGCACGACGTACTGAAGTTACTATAGCATTACACGTGTCAAGTTTTTTGAAATCGGTTCAGATTTAAATATACCTTCCATATATTTTTTCGTCCCATTTAAGGTAAGTTGTGCACCAAAGTCTCTATATATGTTTCGATTTGCACGAAATTTCGCATAGCGCACTGAATTGATTCTAGAATGATGTGTGGTATGTTTCGTAAAAATTGGTTCAAATTTATATAGCTCCCATATACATATATTTTCATACGATTCTATGTTAATGGAACACCAAAGCCTCTACATTTCTTTCGATTTTCACGAAATTTGGCATGGCGTACTGAATTAAGTCTAGAATGATGTGTGTTAAGTTTCTTGAAAATCGGTTCAGATTTAGATATAGCTCCCTTATATATTTTCATCCGATTTGATGTAAATGGTGTACAAAAGACCCTATACATTTTTCGATTTGCATGTAATTTGGCTTAGCGCACTGAACTTAGTCTAAAATGACGTGTGCTAAGTTTCGGAAAAATCGATTCAGATTTAGATATAGCAAAGTCCAAAGACCCTATATATCTTTCGATTTGCACGAAATGTGGCGTAGCATACTGAAATAAGTGTGGAACGATGTATGTTAAATTTCGTGAAAATAGGTTCAACTTTATATAGCTCCCATATATATTTCCGTCCGATTTAATGTAAATGGTGTACAAAAGTCCTTTTATATCTTTTGATTTGCACGATATTTAGCATAGTGTATGAATTAAGTCTAGAATGCTGTTTGTTAACATTCCTGAATATAGGTTCAGATTTAGATATAGCTCCCATATATATTTTCGATTTTATGTTAAAGGAGCACCAAAGCCTCTACAGTTCTTTGGATTTGAACGAAATTTGGAATATCGTACTGAATTAAGTCTACAACGATGTGTGCTACTTTTGTAAAAATCGGTTCAGATTTAGATATAGCTTCCATATATATTTTCTTCCGATTTTATGTAAATTGTGACTAAAGACCTAACGTTTGTTCGATTGGTCCACAATTTTGTGCAATGTATGAGGTTAATATGAATTAATCTCTGGTAAGTTTCTTTGAAATAGGTTCAGTTTTAGATATAGCTCCCATATCCGATTTCAGGCACAAAATGTTGCGCAACATATCAAATTTATTCTAGAATGACGTTATTACGTTTTTAGCTTCCATTCTCGTATATATGACTGCATTTTGAAATATATAGCGTGTATAAAGTTTGCTATAAATCGGTGAAGGGTATCATATAGTCGGTGAAGGATATCATATAGTCCGACTTTAGTACTTTCCTTACTGGGTTTTTATCAAAATTGATTGTCATTTAGATTTCCAGTGGAAATTATCCGCACCAAGTTTCGAGGTAGAGATCCCATATAACATCACATCTCATTATTCGGTAATTTGAAGGTCCAGCACACGGGGGAGGGTATAAAAAGTTCTGTCCGGCTGGATTTAACTACATTCTTACTTGCTTCTATGATTAGTTCCAATGATGGAGTCATCTGAAATCGACACAAGACCTCTTTGATTCGGAGAGTCCCATGCACATATTTAAAAGTTTCAATAATCGACTTAATTGTCCAATGAATTCTCATCATTAATGCTATCAAGCTTGACCTTTAAACTAAATTGACCTCTCAACATGAAAAACTACTCCATCCACTCTCCATAAAATAGACGATTATTGTGAAGGTGTTTACAAAATTTTGGATATCTCAATATGTTTTCATTAAAATTTATTAATAAAAAAATAATTAAAATATATTTTACAAAGTTTGTAAAATTCCCGGATATACGGTGATAGTTTCCAACGAATTTTTCCTTAAACGTACATCGACTTAATGAGTAATAAGACGTGATACAACTATACATATGTTATCAAATCATTCGCATGAGTCAGATCAGTTTTTTTTCTCGTACTTTATTCATTTATTTTTTATGGAGGCTCTTTCAATGCAATTCTAAAGATCATTTCTGAATTGTAGGTGTTTCAAAAAAATAAAACAAATAATTAACAAAATAAATATGTATATCACAAAAATCTGTGTGAGCACTTTAATAAAATCATTCATATACACATTATGTATTTTAAAAAAGCTTACCACCTGTGTATCGTAACGCCTTATCTTATCTATATTTTTTGAAATAAAGACAAACTACCAGCCAGCCAGAATGCATTCGTTCATATCAAAAAACATGAACAAACAAATTACCCATTTACAAACACACTCGTACATTCATATTTAATTATCAAAATCTTGATTTTGTTGGTTTTACTATTTGCTTGCTCTGGAAGTTATCAATTGGATGGATGGATGTATGTACATATGCACTAGTATATACAGACAACTAATTGGCAGCAAAAGGGTAGAAGGTTGAAAGACTGTGTTAATGTGTGCTAAGTTTATGATCGTAGACAGAGCATCATTTAATTAAAAACCAAAATAACAAAAACAAATAATTTAGGGTGAGATATATTATTACGAAATAAGTAAATAAAAGGAATTTATGTTCGTAAAAGGGGCATTTTTTGAATACACCCTACAAATATAACAAAAATTAAATTGTTGGAAATATATCTAATTGAGACACTCCCTTAAGAGGGCCCCCCATTCTCGGGGTCAAAAAATTTTTTGATTTAATTCGAATCAAATTTATATGTAGTTGAAACACACACGTTCCATATGTCGGTAATAATCAATATTTGCCGAAATATATCTGTTAGAGTGGGCTTTGCAAACTACTCCGTAATTATCTTCCATCCTCATGACTTTCAGTAATGCAGAGTGATTTCGAAGGAAATTGCAATATGTGACTCCAAAAGTTATTTCAATTATCCGATATTTTCAGGTATGCGAAGTTTCACTTATCCGGAGTAAATTGTGGGCAACTAACATAAAATGAAATTGTGCAGGAAATCTATTTCACTTATCCGATATTTTTCAGTTAAGCGACTTACAGCGACTTTTTTCTTTTTGCCATAAGCAAGGGAAAAAGGAAGTTTATTAAGTAGTTGCAAATGTTTTGAGCATGCCAAAACACGTTTTTTTATATTCTTGGGAAAATAACAACAACATATTAAAATATATATTTTTTCCAAGTATAATTTAGAAGGATGGCTTATTAAAGATTGTTTCAAACATAAGTTAAAACCATCCGAATCTTACTTTCGCCTCATTTTGTTTGATTGCAGTTCTATTTGCAAATGTTTTGAGCAGCACTGTAGATAAAATTTGATAGGGACATTTGCTACCCAATGAAAATACAAAATTATAGCCAATTTGATTGAAAAACGAACCCTTAATACCGTATTATGGGGAGTACCATTATATGGGGGCAATCGTAAAAAGTGGACCCATATCGATTATTTCTGGAGGGGAGATTTGATACTCAATGAGACCTTAGAGTACCAAATTACAGCCTATTCGGTGAAAAACCTACGTGGACAAATTTAAATACAACAAGTGAAAAAGCGGTAAGTTCGGCCGGGCCGAATTTTGGATACCCTCCACTAGGGGCTAGGTCTAAGGGTCATTGACCCCGGATTAAGGTTTAATCCGGATTAAGGGTCATTTATCCCGAATTAAGGCTTAATCCGGATTAAGGGCCATTGAACCCTGATTAAGTCTTAATATGGATTAAGGGTCATTGAAACCAGATTAAGGTTTAATCCGGATTAAGAGTCATTTATCACGGATTAAGAGTCATTTATCCCGGAGCTTAATAAAGCTTAATCCGGATTAAGGGTCATTGACCCCAAATCCGGATTAAGGGTCATTGAACCCTGATTAAGGCTTAATATGGATTAAGGGTCCGGATTAAGGTTTAATCCGGATTAAGAGTCATTTATCCCGGATTAAGGCTTAATCCGGGATAAATGACCCTGATTAAGGATAAATGACCCTGATTAAGGCTTAATATGGATTATGGGTCAGTAACCCCGGATGAAGGTGTAATCCGGATTAAGAGTCATTTATCACGGATTAAGAGTTATTTATCCCGGATTAAGGTTTAATCTGGATTAAGGGTCATTGAACCCTGATTAAGGCTTAATATGGATTAAGGGTCATTATCCCCGGATTAAGGTTTAATCCGGATTAAGAGTCATTTATCCCGGATTAAGAGTCATTTAACCCGGATTAAGGCTTAATCCGGATTAAGGGTCATTGGCCCCGGGTTAATGTCCATTGACACCGAATTAAGGTTTAATCCGGATTAAGAGTCATTTATACCGGATTAAGAATCATTAATCCGGATTAAGGGTCATTTATCCCGAATTAAGGCCATTGAACCCTGATTAAGTCTTAATATGGATTAAGGGTCATTGAACCCAGATTAAGGTATAATCCGGGTTAAGAGTCATTTATCCCGGAGCGTAATAAAGCTTAATCCGGTTTAAGGGTCATTGACCACGAATCCGGATTAATGTTTATTGAACCCTGATTAAGGCTTAATATGGATTAAGGGTCAGTAACCCCGGATTAAGAGTTATTTATCCCGGATTAAGAGTCATTAATCCCGGATTAAGGGTCATTGACCCCGATTAAGGTTTAATCCGGATTAAGAGTTATTTATCCCGGATTAAGAGTCATTTATCCTGGATTAAGGGTCATTGACCCCGAATCCGGATTAAGGGTCATTGAACCCTAATTAAGGCTTAACATGGATTAAGGGTCATTGACCCCGGATTAAGAGCCATTTATCCCGGATAAAGGCTTAATCCGGATTAAGGGCCATTGGCCCCGGATTAATGTGCATTAACACCGGATTAAGGTTTAATCCGGATTAAGCGTCATTTATCCCGGATTAAGAATCATTTATCCCGGATTAAGGGTCATTGACCTTGGATTAAGGCTAAAGGGTCAGTGAACCCTGATTAAGGCTTAATATGGATTAAGGGTCAGTAAC